TGGTGGTTACCAGTGTGCCTGCCCATTGTCTGATCCACTCTGCGACAGCTTCAACTGGAGGTTGGTGAAGATATTTGCATGCCAAATGCTTTTTCCAAGTGCTATACACACTCTGTATCCTGCGATTCTTTTTTCTTGGAGCATGCAGTGCCCAAAGCTTGATCGGAATAGTTACCAAAAACTTCAGAGATTCAGAAAAGCAGTATACTCGGAAATAAAGTGGGGTGCAAGTGTATTAATATGATTTTACGTTATGTCAACATTGTCCTTAATAGCTTCTGTTTAATCATGTTGAATTTTAAAGAGTTTTCAATTTCTGAGAATTTTGAAGTAGTTCGTGCTCTTTTGTCCTTTTAGAGCCAAAATTATAATTGGCATAGGCAGCTGCATGGTGGTTGTGTTCATCATTGCAGCATTGGTTTTCTACAAGCAACAAGAACACAGCAAAAAGTACAGGTAAGTTAAAACTTGTTTGGTTTTTGTTTTGACTGTTTTTATCTGAAACTTATTTAATGTTAAAAGTCCCACATTTATACACACAAACTGACAAATAACTCAAAGCTTAAAAAACTGCAGTGTTAATTTTTAAACACTGCCATTCAATATAATTATACATCAGATAACTGTAAAAACATGCAAGAAAATGTTCACTGGTATAGATGACAATGGTGTAGTGCATAGTCCTTGTTAAAATGATGAAGTCTTTTTAAAGTGTAGTTTTATATAGTTAACATGGCACAGTATGATGCACTCTTGGTAGAACCTGTTTATGTGACAGAATAACCCAGATTAACAATTGAACTTTCAATTAAATGTAATAAACTGCTGAAGTCAAATATTTCATTAAAATCTTGTCATATACAGAGCCAGTCTGGCAGATAATTCATCAGATTGATATAATATATATCTCTGTCTTATTTTTCTGGAGCAGATTCCACATCCCTCCCCAGATGGATTCCAGTGTTCAACCTTTATCCTTTAACAATACTGCTGGTTCTGCAGTGAGCCCTGCTGATACTGATGTGTTGGCACAAGCAATGATCCATGTGCAAAGTCCTGGGAATCTCAAGGACACTGATGAGGTTGATGAACCAGTGGAGTTGATGACTTTCCAATGGAGGCCTCCGCCATCATGTGAGGATGAGGATACAACCTGCCCAGAGACAGAGGTAGGTACCAGGACAGGTGTCAGGAGTTGGACTTACTCTCTTAAAGTGACAAATTTGAAAATGCTGTTCAATGTAGTGACATGAAGCCGAGTGCTGTGCTGTCCTAAATTAAGCAAAGGGTGTGATGACATCCTGGGACAGACATAAGAAAGACACAGTGTCCAGACACTCAGCATGTGCTTTGTTCCTGCTAGATGTTCATGGCTGACATTGACAACCGGTATACAGAGGGTACAGGTCAGAGGTCATTCGTAGTCTCATTACAAAGGGCTTTTGTCTTTTTGACCTAATAGGCTGCCATTCCCTTCGATTTGTTGGGAAACCTATGAAACAGATCCATAATGGCAGACATACGCGAGACAGGTGCATCACATGTACACTGTTAGCACTTTTACTGCCTGAAGCATTATCACAGGAAGGTCTTGGATATTTTGTTATCATTTCCTGTGTTTTCCATTGTTTTTCCCTCAACAGTCCAAGAGAGCCAATCAGCAGCTTTGTTTGAGCCTTATTTTGAATTATTCATATAAGTTCACGACCTCACTCAACTGAGAATTAAAAAACAAAAATGGCGTCCTGATATCAAGGTCCGAAAATTTCCACAGAAAAAGCTGTCATTAGGTGGTTGTAACATGCCAATAGATTATTTTTATAACAACTTTCCTATTTTGCTATTCATTGATCATTTACCCTATATATTTCCAGGTTTGGGAAAAAATATACCAAATTCACAGCGCTAAACTGAACAGGGACATCATACATCGTGACCGCACCGTGGTGCAACATGGCAAAAATTGACAATGGCTCAATTACGTTGGTTATATGCATTCATTGCAACTTTTTGGCTGCTCCCCCGGGCTATAGAAAGATATTTTGTGAGTGCTTAGCTATGAGTATTCGTAAAAACGTGTTCACCATGATGTTGGTCAATGTTTAAATAAGAAAACGAAATTCGTGAGCATAAAGCTTGTTGAAAGTTATTGGCATAACTTCTACCGATCATAACTTGTGTGATATGAATAATGCGTATCCTTGCTTTCTTACCATATATATCTGTTGCTGACCTCACAAAATATCCAAGACCTTCCTGTGATAACGATTCGTGAGGTGATAGCGCCCTGTACATGTACATATGTGCAGTACTCGTGATGGTTCATGTCATTGGAACAACTGGAAGGGCTTGGAACCAAGACCTTCAATTTTTTTGGTTCAATAACTCTTTTAACATGAAATGTTCCTTTTCTTTTTGCCCTTCAGATTCAAGAATCTAGTCAAGATGTTCATGAAACAGATACCGTGATGTAAAAATCTGACCATGCCTGATCATTGAACTGTGCATTAAAGGTCGGAACGTTTAAATCTGATGGACTTCTTATGTTGGCATTTTACAAAAAGATAAATGACCAATTACTTAAGAAGTAATATATTAATTACTTTAGAGATTTCATGGTAATCCTAATGTTAGCCGTTGCTTGTTATTTTACACAGTTTGTTTTGTAAAGGTAGACCTGTGACTACAGTGCTGTTCAAAATTAAGCAATTAAGCAAGACTATTGCCATAAATAACCCTTTGGAAACATGCATACTGGTAATGGCATTTCTTTAGATGGACCTATCCTAATCGTTTAATGGTTTTATCTGAATTCTTAAGTAGTTCTACTCTTGTAGGCAAAGCAGCATTCAAAGTTGTTTATTACATTTCAAGCTTTTAACAAATTTTAAGGTATTTTTTGCACATTACCAATATTGCAACTAAATGTTTTATGCAAAATGCAAGGGGTGCAGAATGATAAGCAGACCTATCTAAAGATCAAATCAAATTGTTTTTAATGTAGGCCTAGGCAGATGTGTTGTTTTCTCTACATTTACATTGAAGGATTTAGCAAGTTTAAATATCGAAAAAATACTCATTAAGATTCAGATTGTGGAACACTTTGGTGGACGGATCAACTTGTATGCAATTTGTAGCATCAAAAGCCTTTTGGAATAATTGGTAGGATTAAAAAAAATGAGTTTAGTGTGAAGTCATAACAGATCAAATTAATTAATGATATTGTGCATTAAACTTTGTGCTAAATTGCGCTACTTCAAAGTCATCAAATCATCCGGTTTCCAAGGAAATGGCTGATACATGGGATTACAAAACCAAATCCCTTGCTAAACAAGGTCGCCTGTTGGAACTAATTAGCAGAAATAGTCCATGTTACTTGGAAATCAATGGTGTATAATCTACCCTGGAATGTTCTTTACTTTGTACTTATACTCCACCACTCAGTCACATCTATCTGTGCCTCTGGGAAAAGTCAGTTGATCGCAAGTGTGCACTTTGTATGTCTAATAAAACATTGCTGCAAGTCCTCCATCACTCAGTCAAGGCTGTTACACCTATCGCCGCAACAATGTTCTGTCGGAAATCTGTGAATCCCTTGACATAATGCACGGTAATTGCTTTAACCACAATCTCTTTGCTGATTCCAAAGGTGGACATGCTCCAAGAGGCAACACCATCCCGCCATTCATTCTAACAACCACACTCAAGCCAGACATTGCTAAAAAAGATACACTTAGAAAAGAAATCACCTTCATTGAACTGACAATTCCATTTGAATATAACGTAACAAAAACTATGACTATAGAATGCAACAGTCTGCCAACCTACCACACGATTATCGAGATCTAGGCTTCAACTCCAAACTTATCACCTTGGAAATAAGAACTACAAGTCACTCTCTATTTAGTACCGCGACAAAAACTGAATTAAGAAAACTCATCACTCACTTGTCAAAAACATCACAGGTCTCATCCTTTGTCAAATACTGCCCTGACTGGATTGACTTTCATGGTTGAGACTTTTCTTGACATTATTCCCTTGACCAAATCACCACACGCTATGCAATGGTTTGTTTTCTGTCTCGTCTTCTTTATATTCTTTCAATTTGGCTTTTTTTAAAGGAACGAGGAAATAGAAATATTTTTAGAAATTTTACTAAAAACCAATGAAATTGCATCTTTGGGTTTCAATTAACCAGATTTAAAAATTTTGTTTTGCAGTTTTAACCCATATTTTGTTGCTTTTTTAGTTTTTATGCAAATGTATATTTGCATAATCATGAGCAGAAGTACTGTGATATCATCCAAGGTGCTGAATCTCACTGTTGCACTGAATTGTGCACAGAAAATGTCTTGATATTTTTAACCACTGCTATAGCAGATTTTGTTTTCTTGGCAATTTATTGCTGTGTAAGTAAGTATATGGCAATAATCCAGCAAAAATCCTTTTATCAACAATGTCCCTATATAGAAAATCTGGGGTTCACAAATTGAACATGAAAACATGCAACCTGAACCATGCCTTCCTGGATTTACATCAAAGCAAAAGCGCCCTCATCACTTGTACAGAAATGCTTGGTCAATTTTTAATGTTTGAAAAAGTGCACCGTTCAGTTCAGGTAACTCAAAAAAGATGTCAAACCGTCTTCATACATGGAAGAAGAGTACAGAGATGGACAGAAAGTGATTCTAAGAAGAATTCATTTCCTGGATCCTTTAAGTACATTGTTGAATTTGTTAAAAAACCAGCCTACATTTGTTAACGATTCAGGTTAATTCATTGTTTTCCGTTCTAACCTTAATTTCTAACTCCTTGCTTAATGAACAAATAAGGCTGTTTCTTTTGCTTGGTCTTCATGTTCATGATGTCTAGGTTCCCCTACGTCTTATTATTTGTAGTTGTGGATTATAGATAAAAGACACGAATTTGTAAGCTTGTATAATCGGCAGATAATGCACGTATTTGGAGTCATGTTCTGAATGTAATACAGCTACTTTAATACATCAAGATAAAATGCTTAAAGATCACTAACATAAATTAGTGCTTCTTCTGTTTCTCAAATATTATTCAGTAAAGCTTTCAGTGATGTTGGAGTACTCCGTAATTTTCACATGTATCTGGTGGCAGTTGCCCGGAATTGCGGTAGCTTGCATTTCATAATTCATCATGTTACGTTAAGAAATAAACTTTCTTTTTTGCAAGCATATACGTGGCGTCTTTGTTTTTTCCCCCAAAAATAGTCCTTTACGTTGCTTTTCAGTCGACGTCTACTGTGTACTTGTTGGATAGGTAGTTCCTTCTTGGAACCACTCCTTATGAAAGAAGCGAATGAAGGCGTGCCTCTAGAATTCACAAAATCATTCGACAGAAAAAGAGGCACAGAATAAATGACAGTCATAATTATGCATGTAACATCATATTTTATACCAATGTCAACTCTGGTTGGTGGATCTGTTATTGACAAAAATCACAGCCGACAGATAAAAGCATTAACCTTGGCAGAATAAATCGTTTGCATGATACCATCACTGGAAAATGGACTTCAGAGGAAAAATCCTTGCTGTATGTACAAAGTACATCTTACTTTGCACAAATTTAGGTTGGCTTAGGCGCAACGGTGAAGGGGTATTCCACAAACGGTTACTTCATGAGTGGGATGTGGCCAATCTTTGAAGTAGGCCAATGCTACTCGATCTGCCAGCGCGGGAATTTTTTTCATCTGGGTGTATCCAGTCGATATATGTTCTGTTAAAAATGAGTACTCATTCTGGTCTTTATTACATGAGGAGCTTTGATTTTTGTTGGCTGCTACAGAGCTTAGAATAGTGTGTGTTGTTGCTGAGTTGTAGAGTGTTAATTGGTAGGTTATAGAGAAGGGAGAGTTGGGATTGTTTGACTGGGAATGGGATCAGCGTTGCTGCCCCACTTGAATGGAAGGCAAGTTTCCGCCTCTCCTACAGCGCATGGTAGCCTAGTTGTTTTCTTTTTGTCTTCTTGTTTGCTGCCACTCTGATATAATAATGTGGTGTTTATTCATGTACTTATTTCCAATTGAAAGCGTAGCACTTTCCTTCTTGCGCTGCGTCAATGAAAATTCATCCACTCTTTAAAATTTCGTTCGAGTCTAGTCTAGAAAAAAATGTATTAGATCCTTAAAATTTCGTTCTGCTTTTGAGAAATCAATTCCAAATCTCGAAAATATATTTTTTTTCAAAAATGACATTCGCTTTAAAACACGTTCAATTAAAACATGTTCCAATCTTTTCGACCCTAATTCTGCTTCGAAATTGGGGAGTACTCCGACCGATATAACCCGGACAATTCACAAAATTCTTGGTACAGACGCGGCCGGAAATACCCGAATATTAACGAGACCACCATGATCTTTTTCTTCTCCCCTTTCATTTGGCTACCAATTTAAATTCTTGTAACAATTTTTACAATTTTGATGAGCATTAAAGAAACAGTGTTGACGTTAAACTGAACTTAATATGGACAGGATAAGTTCAGAACAGTTCGACTATTCCCGGAAATCCGGGGGAGTGTTGGTCACGTGGACATTGGGTGATAGAGGATTATACCCAGCAAGAAATGAGACCGAGGGGTACCCCCCCCAACATGTCCATTCCCTATACACATTCCAGACTATTGTTACTTAACACATCCCCCCAAAATGTTTGAAAGGAATTCCCCAGATTCCTGCGAGACAATGACCAACACAAAGCAGGGGGGGGTTCTCTCGGTCTCATACCTTGCTGCATATGAAGATGTTGCCGCGGCGTCAAATTGATATCCAGCCGCAGCGAATATTTCAATAGTTTCATAAGTCCTATTCAACGTGCCGTTTTCAAATCTAGGGTGTAATGCAGTGAGATTTGGTTTAAGATTGCCAATTGGAACAAAAGGGGATATTACATTTCATCAAAGCTTGATTCACAACACAAATCCATATCTGCAAGTGGGGCGGGGTAGACTACTTGGACTCCTTGGCAGACTGCCTGTTGAAAGGATCATGGTGCCTTTTCATTTAAAGTTTAAGTAATCCTAGTTACGTATGCGCCACGAGGGGGGATCCTGAAAAGAACGAAAACAAAGGAAAGAAAACAGCCAAAGAAATGAAAATTAGAAATGAAATAGAACATAATTATTATTTGCTTGAGAACAAAATCCAACCTCTTCCAGCAGTTAAATGTTATTGTTTTAACTAAACGGTTACCCCCCCCCCAAATCTGGCGACGTCCATGCATATTTTAAGCCGTTGTGTGTTGCCATTTCGGACCAAACCTCGATGATATAATTCTAACATTAAAATCTGCCATGATTTAGGAGATTTCAGCAGGAAAACCAAAAAAAAAATGAAGTGAAGGTGAAAGGAAAACTAACACACACTTTTTCATCAACTGGATTGAAATCCCCAGGCTCCGACCTCACATCCATGCATTCACTTCTCACAAACCACCCATACGGCGCAGGGCGCTGGGAAGGGCAAATACGTGACATACTTTTTGTCGAGAACTTATTGGATGGATTCTATCTTAATTAATATCTGACCACGGTGACCACTGGCTCTGTGCGCATGACATGTGTGCACTTATACTATACTTGGTTTGAGCGTTCAAAGCTGTGAGGAATTTCATGCGTTGTGTTTGTAAAACTACTGTTTTTAATCTACCATTTGAAGTACTACAAATTAATACATTTCGACCGATGAAAGTTCAAAATTTAATAACTATCAAGTCCGCTTGCTTGTGTTTGGTTGGGGCTAGGAAAATGTTGGAAGGAATTAAAAACAGCTTACCCCTCATCTGAATGTGGAAATTCACGCCACAAAATAAGATTTCGTTGTTTTTGTGTTGAAAAACAAGATTCGTTGAAATGTAATATCCATTTTTATTCCAGTTAGCAATCTAAAACCAAATCGCTATGCATTTCCTCCTAAAGATACACTTGAAAACAATGCACTGAATAAGACTTGCCGCGGCGAGACAGTATCTCGAAAAATGTGTTTGTAAGTGGCCCTTATACGCTTCCGTATTACTGCAAGTGACGTCACAAAGAAAAATTATTTGCAGAGTTTCGTGAATGTGCGCGTCATCTGAGAACTCAGCAACACGTACGAGTCCATTCCTTGAGTCTATTGTTCTCATGCGCACGCTCTTTCGGTGCGTTACTCGCAACAAGCCATCAAATTTCCGTGAACATTGTGCTGCGATTACTTCTTCGAAGTTTGTGAATTTTATAGAGTTTTATTGTTTCACTTGACAAGTGGAACAGTGACGCAGAACCCAACTCTTAGGCCTCGCAAGTTAGCAGTGTCCTATGGCATCAGTGCTCCGCAGACCATATACATAAACATACAAAGACTTGTGACTGCTGCACTGCAAAACCAGGGTGTTAAATTTAACACCGCTGGAGTTATCAGAGGACTACACCAACACTTTTCACTGGTGTTAACATTTTGGTGTTATTTGGTGTTGCTTTTAATACCCTCCATTGCAGGTGTGCAAAGTAACTCCAGTGGTGTTAAAGTAACACCCTATTTGGTCATCTGATAACACCAAAAAGTGTTGATTTTAACACCAAAGTTCTTGCAATGTGTTATCACACTTACCTATGTTTGTCCGAGCCACGCCCAAGACTTCACAGGGTCGTAATCATTTGTGCCGATAGCCAATGGACTGCAAAATCTAACCAGAATGACTATATCAGCACGACTTCAAAACACCATGTTTCCTTTACCACGCCTACAACATGTAGCAAATCTCA